AGTGGGTGCCACCTCATGGGAGGTCTTGAAACAAAGGCTAGATGACTACTTGCTGGATATGAGGCAGAGGGGATTCTTGTTCAGGAATGGTTTGGAAGAGATGGCCTCCGAGGGACCTTCCAACCCTGAGATTCTGTGATTCCAATAAGGAAGATCTTTCTAAACTGTAGAGCAATTTGTGCAAGATCCTAGAAGTGGAAACAGGGAGGAGAAGAGGCATCAGCCCAACACCTAGGGGTCTTTCCTAAGAACACGAGGCCACTTGGGAAGAAGCCACTTCAAAGGGGAAGGGGGAGAAAACTCATTGAGTAGGCAGTTCCTTGTCCCCATACCCATCCCAAAGAAACAAAATGGTCGTTGCCAATGGACGCTCTCATCCCAAGAGGGTGGGCTCCCCCCCAAATCAGTCTCTTCTTTCCTTTTGCCTCCAGAACCCTCCTTTCTTGACCTCTCCAATATCCTTTTTTTCAAATGAAATTTTATTTGATTTTTCTAAGATCTGCCTTTTCTCCCTCCCAGACTTCTTTCTCTCCCCCAATGAAGAAAGCAAGAAAAAACAAAATCTCTATTACAAACATTTATAGTCAGGCAAAACAAATTCCCACATTGGCCATGGCCCAAAAAATTATGCCTCCCTCTAACCCCTGAGTCAATCATCTCTCTTTCAGGTCACCTGTTTCATCATGAATTCTCTGGGATTGTGGTTGGTCATTGATTTAATCAGAGTTCTGAAGTCTTTCAAAGTTGATTGTCCTTACAGTATTATTTTTATTGTACAAATTATTCTCCTGGTTCTGTTCACTTCATTCTGCATCAGTTCATACAATTCTTCTTGCTGTAACCTGAGTCCCGAAGCCCATCTCCATCCTCATTGATGGAGATCAATGCCCCCCATCTGCACAAGAGGCAGTAAGGGAGAGAGAAGAACTTCAGGGTGTTCTGTCTCTCCATTTCCTTCAAGTCTCTTGAGTTGCTTTGAGTGCTTTTGGCTTCTAGCTTTGAGAGAGAAGATTGATGATGCCAACCCCACCTCCAGTCGCTGGAGAAGAAAATAAGACTCTGGGAAGAAACTGACATGAGAAGAGCTAACAATCTCCATCATGTCCCTATTCCCAGCTTGCTACTCCAGAGATTTGGGGGAAATTTCCCCTTGGGTGATACCTGGGACTCTCTTGGTTTAGCTGGTACCTCACTCCCAAGAAGAGTGCTCCTTCACTCCATATTGTCTGGTAGGATCTATTCTCCTGTGTGTTCTTTCTCTGATTTCTGCAGTTGACTCAGATAAACGGGTTTCTTGCTGTTTATTATGTGTATTCATGATAGAACTGAATTTTGTGGGAAAGGAATCAAACCTTGAATGTAAAGGTTGGATCCTACCTTCCACAATAATGAGCAGCGCTCAGTACTTTGCCTTGAACCTGGAAACCACATCCCCTAAATTAACAGTATTTAAGGACGCAGATAGATATAATTCTAGCCCAGTACTCCCTCTCTCTGAGGACAGCAGAACTGCCAAGCTTCTGGCTTCAATCTCTTGCTTTCCCTCCAGGCAGGAATTAAAGTCTCCCTTGGAGGCAGGTGTGGGGAGAAGAGGCTAGAGATGTCTGCTGTGTCTCCCTTTGGGCCTCACAACGACACCTGCATGTGACATGTTGGGGATAGCCTCGTCACACCAGACTTCTGTGAAACCATCTCAGGACAGACTTTGCATGGTAGGGGAGAGGTCACCCCACTCCAACCTATTCTTCCAGAAACATCATCCAGCAATGTTTAAGCCCAGGCCAGTGGATCAGTGGCAGAACCAGAGATGCCTGGGGTAATCACCAGGGTCAAAAGCAGCTTCTGCCAGAAGAGGTAAAGATCTGGCAACAGCTGGCGTTAGTCCTGGAGAATCACACAAACCTACAGCTACATGCCCATGCACCCAGACGTATACAAACACATAGGGTTTATAGGTCAAAAATAGACAGAAAGAACATTAAAGATCATCTAATCTAACATGTCATATTGTAGATGGGGAAACTGAGGGCACAATGGATAGAGTGCCAGGCCTGGAGTCAGGAAGAATCATCTCCCTGAGTTCAAATCCAGCCTCAGACACTTACTAGCTGTGTGACCCTGGGCAAGTCACTTAATCCTGTGTGTCTCAGTTTCCTCATTTGTAAAGTGATCTGGAGAAGGAAATAGCAAATCACTCCAGTATTTTTGCCAAGAAAACCCCAAATGAGGTCATGGAGGGTCGGACACAACTAAACAACAAACTGCGGGTCTATGTGGGGGGAATTGACTTCCCAGTGCCACACCCTCTTCCACATAAATGGATCTGTGATTTCACTGATAACAGGGTGCCTCAGGCCCTTAATAAATGCATATTACAAGTGGGTATTTGACAACATAAATCCTAATTTCTCCATGTCCTCTGCAGGATTAGAACCCAGGTGTTCCTGAATCCCAGTTCAGTGATTTTTTTTTTTCACCATACACAGGCATGCAGATACATGGCACATAAATACACACACACACACACAGAGATTACAATAATATTACCTAGCATTTATAGGGTCTTGTCAAGTTTGCAAAGCATTTTACGTACATTATCTTCCACAGACAAATACACATGGGCACACCCACAGCAACCTAGACGCCCACACAAAAGAGCCCTCAGGACAAGACTGGGAGAGGGCTGGGCCAGTCAGGGTGGTGCAGGTTGGGGCGAGGGACTGCCTGCTTTCCCAGGAGCTACCCAGGCTTCAAAGGGAGCCCCACAAATGCTCCCCCACCCCCTCTGAATTAAAGAACCCTTCAGGGCACTATCCCAGTGTCCAGAGCTTCCCTCCCAAGCAAGATCTCTGAGTGCTGTGTTTTTTGTTTTGTTTTGTTTTGTTTTTTTAATGTTGGAGCAGGGAGAAGATGGGGGAGGGGATTCTGGGAGGTACTGGGGAACACATATACAAAAACACATAGACACACAGACACATACACAATGCACACATGCACACACACATATACACCGCCCCCGCCTTGGGCAGGACAAGAAGGACAGTTCCATGGCATGTGAATAGAATGATGAACTTGGAGTCAGGAAGACCTCAGTTCAAATCCTCCCTCAGACACTTAGCACCTCTGTGACCTTGGTCAAATCACTTCATCTAAGCCTCCCCATCTGTAAAACAGGTATTATAATAATAGTACCTATCTCACAGGATTTTTGTGAGGATCAAATGAGATAATCTATGTAAAGCACTTTGGAAGCAGCTATAGAAATGTCAGCTATTATTATTTACTATCTTTTTCAGGAGCATGACAATCCTTGATGGAATCCATTTCTTATGCGTTTGAACTCCACTCTCCCACTTTTATCCCCTTCCCTATGCCAGATGAATGACTATCTGGGACCATTACTGAGAAGCAACATTGCCTTTTGGCAACAGCCATCATCATGAACCAGCATCACCAAGATAAACAGGGTGATACCTTGGAAAGAGAGACCTGGATATGAAGTCAGCAGAGATCTGAGTTCAAATCCTAGCTCCTACACTTCCTGGTTGTGTCACTCTGGGTAAAACACATAAAGATTTGGAAACTAAGTTTCTTCATCTGTCAGAGAGGGGAAGTGATATTTGAAATACCTAACCCCTCCACGATTGTTGTGAGGAATGTACTCTGAAAGCCTTAAAGGGAATTGTGAGTTATTAACATCACCATCAGGAGACTGAGTCTCAGTGGTAATTCTGCAACGCTTTTTCTAAGGCACTTTAATCTCTTCAGATGTTACTTTTCCTGTCTGTGAGATGAAAGGGTTGGATTAGATGAGAACTATACTGGTAAATGTTTAACAATTGGCTCTCTGAGGGAAAAATGTACGTACAACACACTTATAAGTTTAATCTGTTTTATTCACATTTTCTCCATCACTTTCTTAAGTCTAGACAATGAACAAAACAATAAACCAAGCCCCAATCTGTCTCATTCCCAGATTTCCAAACTATAAATGACCATACTGAAAATTGAACAATTAGCTGGCCCAGATGAGCTGGCTCTGGCGCAGTCTTGCACTGACATGGTCTCGGTGATCAGTTAGCCCCTTGTGACATTTGTGTTCAATATACATCGCGGAACAGAAAAGGAGCAGTTACAAGTTTGCAGATCAGCACGGAGATGATCCAGGGGGCAGAGGACAACCTCCCTCGGGCTATCTGGCCACAGGATGAGCTGAGCGCCCATAGCTTGGGTTCTCCGGCCAGGCTGGTGTCCCCTCGGGAAGACCCCATAAGGCAGGGTCTCGTCTGTATCTACTTACACCCCCTTCCACACCCACACAGCAGGTACATGCTTCTGCTCTCTGTGAAACAGCACGAGCCTCCCCACTGCCCCCACCATGCTTTTTATCCAGACTTTGTCCTCATTGAACGTGGACTTGTTCTGTCCGCCAACCGGCTTGTCCATCCTTTCCTACCCCCACCCCTGATCCTCACAGTGAACTTGGCCTTTCTTCCTAGGCAGATGGGCAGCACAGACAAGGTCAGGGCCCTCCCCTTGTGGTTTCCCTGTTTGCTGATGGCTACAGAGGTGACTGGCCTGGAAGGGGTGGAGAAAGGAAAAACAAGTGAGAGAGAAAGCCTCCCCAGCTGACTCGGGATTTGCAAACCAGCTCAGGGAGAACCAAGGGTGGGGGTTGGCAGGGGGGCAGTACTGGAGACACAGCCAGTGAAGGAAAGACAGCCGCCGCCCTAAAAGCCTCCACAGTCTGCGGGACTCCAGGACCCTGAGACATGAGGCCAGGGGTACCCCGCGAGAAAAGCCGAGCATCTGAGGCAGAGTGTGCTCTAGTCATTGTCCCGAGCATCCCCTGGGGACCAGGGGGTTGGAAACCAACATACAGGGGGCCAGGAAGAAGGGGTCGGCTCTGAGGTGGGGAGGAGCTGATTGAAAGCAGAAGCCCAGGGCTCCTGGGTCCCAAGGCTGGGCAGCTGGTCCCCTGGTTCTTGAGAAGAGGGGAGCCCGTGAAGCCGCACGATGGATAAGTTCCGGATGATATTCCAGTTCCTGCAATCTAACCAGGAGTCCTTCATGAATGGCATCTGTGGGATCATGGCTCTGGCCAGTGCCCAGATATACTCAGCTTTTGACTTTAGCTGCCCCTGCCTGCCTGGGTACAACCTGGCATACAGCGGGGGTATCCTTCTGGTGCCCCCCTTGGTGCTCTTCCTGCTGGGACTGGTGATGAACAACAATGTCTCCATGCTGGCTGAGGAGTGGAAGCGGCCCATCGGCCAGCGGCGTAAGGACCCCGCTGTGCTACGGTATATGTTCTGTTCCATGGCCCAGCGGGCGCTGATTGCCCCTGTGGTCTGGGTGGCCGTCACCCTGCTGGATGGCAAATGCTTCCTGTGTGCCTTCTGTACGGCCGTGCCCGTGGCCACTCTGGGAAATTCCAGTCAAGTCCCCAGCCTGGCCCAGCAGGAGACAGCCAGGCTGCTGGCTCGAATCCCCTGCCAGGAGATCTATGATGGCGAGTGGCTGATTGCCCGAGAAGTGGCGGTCAGATATTTGCGCTGCATCTCCCAGGTGAGCTCTCCTGATCTTCTTCTACGGGGCCTCATAAAACAACTTGTTCATTGTACTTCTTTCTGTGTGGCCTGAAACTGAAATCCCCTTTGCCAGCTCAGGAGCCTACCTAGCTGGACTAGGGTCGAGGCCTGGGGTATGATTCTGGGGCCTGTACAACACCCACTGGCATAGCAGGTCCTAGGAGCCCAGCCTGTCCCAGCCTGCCTGAAGAATAATTGAAGGCCACAAAGGATTTGCATCCTTTAAAACTAGGGAACCTGGAAAGGGGGAGGAAGGGCCTTGCTGAGAAAGACAGAACATGGCCCCGGGCCATTTGGATACATTTCCCAGGCAAACATGGCCAGCAAGCCCCCTCTCCCATGTGAGAACAAGGGGCTAAGGTTGGACCCTTGGTTAGAATAGAAGTAGGGTAGGATTAAATATATTCCAGCCTTCAGTGTTTCCCCTCTTGGAAATCAGACCTCATTTCTTCATGGAGTGGGGTTGGGCAGTGTTTGGGGAGACCCCGCTGGAGAACTGAAATAGAAAAACCCTCCAAAAGCAGAGATCTGGAGCTTGATGGATACTATGGGAGACGTGGAATCAAGAGTCTTGCCCCATTTAAGGGCCTTTGGGCAAGTCACCCATGTGGGCTATAGCTTTTCCATTTTGAAAGTGAGAATGGTTCTCTGTAGGATGGTCTAACAGGCTCTTAAATCAAAACTCATATATTGAGCCCTACTGTGGGCCATCCCGGAGCTATAGGAGACGCAAGTATGAATAATAAGATCTCTGGGAACTTAAAGTCTAGTTGGGGAGACAAGAAAGAGGTCTTAAGTTCACTAACAATCCAGGGGAGAATGTACCTAAGTTTCTAAAGAGCAGTATGATCAGAGGAGAGAGAACGCTGAGGGAGGGCTTGGTTAGAGAAGGGGTTTTGGAGGAGGTGGTTTATTAAGATTCTATTAATGTGAAATAATGTGAAATCCTATTAATGTAAAATAATAATAATATATTCATATAGTCTGTAAGGGGCAAGGAAAGAAAGGAACAGGCATTTATTAAGTGCCTGCTCTATGCCAGGCACTGTGTCAGACACTTTACAAATCTTATCTCAGTTGATCCTCATAACAACACTGGAAGGTGGGTTCTATTATTATTTTTGGGGGGGGGTGAGGCAATTAGGGTTAAGTGACTTGCCCAGGGTCACACTGCTAGTTAAGTGTCAATTGTCTGAGGCTGGATTTGAATTCATATCCTCCTGACTCCAGGGCCAGTGCACCACCTAGCTGCTCCTGGTAGGGTTCTATTATTAATTCCCCTTTGCAGTTGAGGAAACTGAGGCAGACAGAGGTTAAGTGATTTGCCACTGGTAGGTTCTATTATTAATTCTCCTTTGCAGTTGAGAAAACTGAGGCAGATAGAGGTTAAGTGATTTGCCACTGATAGGTTCTATTATTAATTCCCCTTTGCAGTTGAGGAAACTGAGGCAGATAGAGGTTAAGTGATTTGCCACTGGTAGGTTCTATTATAAATTCCCCTTTGCAGTTGAGGAAACTGAGGCAGATAAAGGTTAAGTGATTTGCCCAAGATTGCACAACTAGAAAGTATATGAGGCTGAATTTGAACTCAAGTCAGTACTCTATCTCCTGTGCCCCTTAGGTCCTTCTGTAAAATGAAGGGCAAATGTCAGTATCATTCCCATTTTACAGATGAAGAAACTGGGGCTCTAAGAAGGCACGCAGCTAGTAAATATCTGAGGAAGGATTAAAACCCAGGTCTAGGGACTATAAGTTTAATATCTCACTACACCATGTCACTCCCCAGTGGCAGTGACAGAGGCCTGTAGCTCCTGAATGGAGAGGGAGGTGGGGCATGATAGGAAGGAAATTCTATCCTTCCCTACTCACTCCTCCACTTGGGGTTCTTACAGGCTTTGGGCTGGACCTTCGTGCTGTTGACCACACTCCTGGCATTCATCGTCCGGGCGGTTCGGCCCTGCTTCACCCAGGCCGCCTTCCTGAAGAGCAAGTACTGGTCCCACTACATTGACATTGAGCGCAAACTCTTTGATGAGACCTGCACTGAACACGCCAAGGCCTTCGCCAAGGTCTGCATCCAACAATTCTTCGAAGCCATGAACCACGACCTGACCTTGGGTCACTCCCATCCAAAACCAACCAAGGCCTCCGCTGAAGGGGCGGAGGAGGAGCGGGGAAAGCTTCATGGCATTACTGACCAGGGTACCATGAACCAGCTGCTCAAGAGCTGGCATAATTGTAAGCCCCCGCTACGGCTGGACCAGGAGGAGCCACTTCTGGAGAACGGGTGGGCAGGTGGGGTGCCTGGGCCTGGCCCAGCCCCTATCCTGAGGAAGGAGGTGGCCACCTACTTCAGCAAAGTATGAGGAAGCAAAACCTGGCACTCCGGCAACAAGCTACAGGTTTGCAAGCCACACGCCGGGTTCAGGGCTAGGTTTATGAGATGGAGCAGGCATCTGCTTCAAGGTTCAGGACCACCTTGTTCCCATCAGCCTCCCATGCTGCCAACCAGAGAGGCCACTGGGTCTCTTGAGGTCAGCATCAGCAAAGATTTAAAAGCACTTTTCATGAGCCAGGGAACCATATTGGGACTACTGCACAATAAAGAGAAAATAAGGATCTTGGAACTGCTGCTGATGGGCCCTATTGGTCAAGGGCCCATGAAGCCCAGGGAACTAGACTACCAGTCTGAATGCTCCAGGCCCTCCTCCTCCAACAAAGGAGAAATTTCTGATGTGGGAGCTGGGGGGGGGGGGGCTGGCTTGTCCTAAATCAACCCTTTAACTTCACTATTTCCCTACTCCTTAAAAAAAAAAAATTCACTCACTCTTCATGGGGAGATAAGATTAGCAGTATTAATCAGAATAGATCAGAGTGGGATTAATGAGCTGTTGGGAGGAACGGGGCGGGGGGAAGAAGACAGGGAAAGAAAGGTAGGTCCCCAGCCTTTCTCCAATACTCCCTTCCCTAACAGGTGAATTAGCCCTTGTCTTCTATGAGCTAGAACTGGGTAACCAGTTCTAATGTTCCAGGAACCTTTGTTGGGGATATCACAGGAAAAAGTCTGAAAAGTCACAGGAACTGAGATTTGTCTTGTGGGATGAAGAGAGATGAGATGAGGACCTTACCTGCACATCCTCTACTGTGTGAGATAGACAATTAGCATCTGGAGACTGAAAATTCTGCTCCAGGCCAGGTGACCTGCACAGTATCTGTGATGATGTTCATAATGATAATATTGCGACTTTGTGTTTGAGAAAAGCACTTTCTCCTCCCCTGGAGTTCAGGGAGCTTGTTTTATTTCTCAACTTACCCTGCTGAATGATTACCTTTGAGCCAAGGATCTGGAAGGCTTCCCCATTTTACAGTCAGGGAAATTGAGGCTTAGAATAATGAAGCAATATCCCCCACAAGGCCTAAGCCCTCTGGAATTCTTCAGGCTCAAGGATTTTGAGATAAGGACCCTGAAGTTAGTAACTGTCTATGGATGAGGCTAGGAACCATGATCTGATCGTGGGTCAATTCTGAGTTCTGGCTTCAGCAGTGATGTGTTGCATCAAGCCATTTCCACTCTCCTGGTCCTCTCTATAACCTGCAAAGCTGGGGTAAAAGAGGTATTACCCTCTTTTTAGCCCCACCTCCTCAACATTGGACAGCACCTGGCTAGATGTCACCCATCATTGTGGGCCAGCACAGCCGCTGTGGCAGCTTTCAGAGAGGCATAGATTGTGAGACTTTATCTTTAGGATTTGGGAATTAGGGGAAAGGGTCTTTAATACAACCCCTACTATTTTCCCCAGTGGAAACTACTCGGAATCATGGAGAGGTACGAGGGGAGGTAGGGAAGGTCTGCCTCCACAAGATATAAACCCTATAAAATATTTCTCCTATAAAATATCAAAAGTGTAATGATGCCTTCGTGAACGAAAACTGCCTTCTCCATATTCCTAATTTAAAATGTGAATACCCCTGAGAGAGGGCACACATTCAGTCCTCAAGCTTTCAGGGTGAGTTAATAAATTGCTTAATTAAATGAACATTTATTAAGGCCTATTATATCTATAGGATCATACTAGGTTCTGAATGAATTTTTCTGTCATCTTTCGGTCTCACCCACTCCCAAGTTTTGAGATCCCACAATGTAATTTCCTAGGTCTTCAGAATATCCTTCTCCCAAAGGGGTAGGAAAGTGGGAAGAGGCAAAGCCATAATTAGAATCCATCGAAAATTCAGGTGGCAGGAAGGGTTGGGATTTAAACACCAAACACCACTATGCCCATTCTCTAGTAGAACATGCCATGCTATGAATCCCAATGGCTTATGATTTAATTCCTTATTCAGAACTGATGTTAAAGACTTTAAATATAAAATCTTGCCCTAAGAGGAAGCCTATGAAATAGGTTCATAGGATCACAGAGTTGGAACTGAAAAGGAACTTAAAGAACATTAAGTACAACACCCTCATTTTACAGATGAGGAGACTGAGGCAAATGCTTTGTTCAGGGTCACACAGCTAGTAAATGTCTAAAACAAGATTTGAACCCAGGTTTTCCTGACTCTTTGACTTCTCTCAGTCAAGTAAGATACATAGATTTATGTAACTGAAGTGGCCTGTCCCCACTCCAACTTCAACTGAATTTTGCCTGGCTGTAAGAATAAAGGTGTAGGATGGAGGAAGGTCTTAGTGGCCTCCAAGTTTGATATGAATCAACATTGTGTTAGGTCAAGAAAGCTAATGCAATCTTAAATTACATTTAGAATGGCGCAGTGGTCAGGGCTAAGAAGTCCATAGCAAGGGATGCTGCTGTGGATCAGACCACATCTGCAGCATGGTGTTCCATTCAGGATGCCATATTTTGGGAAGGATATTGATAGACTGGAAAGTGTTCAGATAAGGACTACCAAGATAGGGAAGGTTTTCAAGTTAATGTCATATGAGGCTTGATTGAAGAATTGATTGAGATAGTTACCCTGGAGAAGGGAAGACTGGGAGAGGAAATGGAAAGGTAGCTATAAGATGGCTATCTTCAAGTATTTTGAAGGTTGTTTATTCAATGCTTCCTTTGACTCTGCAGTTACCATCTGCCAATATAGGGCAGTAAAGTCCAAGATCTCTCAGAACAGCAAAGCCCTTCCCTCTCCCCATTCCCATATCACTTCCAGTCATGCCACTGAAGCAATAATTGGAAGTGGAAAAATGACAAATTTAGCCTTGATATGAGGAAAATTTTTCTTACAATTGTTGTTGGTGAGTCATTTCGGTGTTGTCCAACTTTTCATGACCCCATGTGGGGTTTTCTTGGCACAGATACTGGAGTGGTTTGCCTTTTCTTACAATTAGGAAAATCTCAAAGTGGAATGGAGGGGAGCTAGATGGCTCCTTGGATAGAGCACTGGGCCTGGAGTCAGGAAAACCTGAGCTCAAATCTGGCATCAGATACTTACTAGCTGTGTGACCCTAGGCAAGTCACTTTACACTGTTTGCCTCAGTTTCCTCATCTGAAAAATGAGCTGGAGAAAGAAAAGGAAAATGGGGTCATGAAGAGTTGGACACAATTGAACAACAAAAGTGGAATGGGCTGTCTAGGGAGTTAATGGGTTCTCCCTCCTGGGAGATTGTGGAGCAAAGCTGGACCATCCCTTATCTGGGAGATGCAGTGGATTCTAGTTCAGGGATGAGTTGGAGTAGATGGCCTCAGAGGTCCCCTTCAATCCCAAGGTTCTGGAAAGTTAGATGCTGACTTTGCCCAGGGCTTTGGCTGTTAGAAACACTCCCTTCCTCATTTTCGTATCTGGGGGTAGAGTGAGGAGAAGCTCTCAGGTGGTGGGGGACTGCACTGTGGGATCTCAGGACCTGGGAGCAGAGTAAGATGTCAGCCCCCAAACTAGACACTGTTTCTGACTGCAGCCGCAAGACAGAGCCTCACTCCTCCTCTCTCCAGTTGAGCTAAATCTCCCTTCTAGCTGCCAAAGGGGTGCGAATGAGTCACAGGAAAGGAGGGGGGAGAGGGAGGGGAAAGTTTTGGTTCTGGCAGGGTGTGGCCTGTATAAGAGAACACAAAACTCCTTCCTAAAGAAACAGAAAATAGTGACACCCCTAGAAAAAACCCCAAGTCCCGTGCCTCTATCCACTTCGCAATGCCACCTTTTCTGTGCACAAATAATGAAACGGGACCAAATGTTATGAGCCCATGACAAGCACAAAGCACTGCCTTAGTTCAGAGGATCAAGAAATCATACCCAACTTGGGGCCAGCAGAGAAGGGAGGGGAAGACATAAAGGAAGACTTCATGAAGCTGGCATTTGACCTGGGACTTAAAGAAGGAACAGGGTTTGAAGAGGTCGTTTGGGATGGAGGTGGGTGTGAAGAATGGAGTACATTTCAGACAGAGGGGAGAAAAGCCTAGAAAGCAGAAGACGGAGGAGCAGGCCTCTTAGCCTGGGCATATGACTCTCTTGGTCACCTGGCTAGAGGTACAGGGAGAGCAGGTGTGTGGGTTCCTATGACTATACAGTGTTTATCATCCCTGATAATCAACATCATCAATCTCATCTCTCCATCAACAAAACTGATGGACAGGAGCAGAGGCCCAGGGAATCCAAAAGAACAGAAGACCCAAAGTCATTTCTATTTTGTTTGGTATTGCACCATAGCATACTATTGTTTCTCCTTCTCAGCAACAATTACCTTCCTGACCCCGTCTATCTGAGGCTGAGGATACTTTTGAGTTTGGGCTTTCCTTATCTCTGAAAGATTCCATGGTTCTTCCTATGGAGAATCCACAGGATAATCTCTACACCTCCCACCTCCTTCCAGCACAGCACCCCTCCTCCATATATACATTCAGATAGCAAACTGAAAGTAAGGGGAATGTAGCTAAATACCTTCCTAAAGCCTGATCCCCCAAAGAAATGTAGCTGTTAGACCACAGACTAACAATGTACCAGCTCTGGTCTCTCTCCTCCCAAATTGAGGTTAAGAAGGAGTGCATGGAAGTCAGTTTTTGCAAAACCATGGAGGCAGGAGGTGGACTGAAAATTTGGGGCAACAGCAAATAAGTCAGTTTAGCTGGAAAGTAGAGAGTGTGAAATGTATGTATGTATGGAGTCAGATTGTGAATGGCTTTTTGGAGATAATTTAGGGCAGAAGGATTTTGATGAACCTAAAGCAGAAGAATTGGCAAGGAGAGGGCCATGGTCAGTTAAAATGCAGAGCAAGACATCAGAAAGCAGAACAAAGGAGAAATTAGGGGTCTCCCCTGACCAGCCAGGAAGGCAGAGTTAAAGGGTAGTCAGAGTTGGACTAGAATAATCTTTTCCTTTAACCCACAGAGAGTTCAGGCAGCAGAGGTCCTACATCCCCTAAGCAGCCCCATGTCAGGTAGGTGATGGAGGTGGGGAAGATGAAGGAGGAGGCCTTGCTATTGGCACTCTCTCACTCTTGACAGTACTTGGTATACAAATTTGTCCCCAAAGGATAGTTATGAGAATACAAATCTCTCCCTTTTTTGCTGAAGGAGGGACTGTGGGTGTGAAGCTCATATAATATCATATAATATCACTTGGTTGATATGTTGATTAGTTTTGCTGGACTTTTCTTTTTTAAAAAGTTTGTAATAAAGGTTGGATCTGTGAAGGAGGGGAATGGAAGAAATATATATTAGAAAATTTAGGTGATATAAAAATAAGAACCACCAATAAAAATTTAATAATAAAAGAAAAAAATAAATTATTTGGTATATATTTTGCATTTACTTACTTGTGTGCCTGTTGTATCTCCCCAGAAAAAAGTAAGATCCTTGAGAGCAGGGACCATATTGGTTCTGTTCTTTCTTCAGCTTCTATCCCAGTACCTTGCAAACAGAAGGGGCTTAATAAATGTTGGTTGAATTGATCTTGGAAGCACCTAGACCAGATCTCCCCGCAGACCCAGTTGGTTCAGGCTCTCCTTTCCCCTTCTTTGCCCTCCCCAACTCCCAAATCTGGGGAGCCAGCCGGAGTCCTCCAGACTGGTCTCTCGGGCTTATCGACGTCTGAGCCCTTTGTCCCCCTGGGGCCGGGCTCCCTGACCTCGGCTCCTCTCCCCCGTCCCAAAGCCAGAATGTCTGCGCCAGTGAGAGCAGACAAGCCGACTCTTAGACTGGAGTTAGCCCTTGGGGCTCAAGCTCGCTGGGCCAGGGTGGGCGGAACTGCAGAGCAGACCCGGGAGGGCCAGCGGACAGGCCACCTCCTCCCCACTCCCCCGCCCCCCAGCTCCCCCCTCCTTTCCCTCCCCTGTGCACGCTGGAGAAGCTGTTTTTCCACTCTCTCACGCACACGCGCTTTTCCATTCTTTATTTATTTCTTTTTGGGTTTAAACTTTCTCTAAGCCTCGCTGCCACTTCCCCAAAGCTGCTGCCCCCTTTCATCCCTCGCTGGGCCTCTGCGATCTTCCCCCTCTAATCTGACCCTGCAGGAAACCCCAGCCCCAACCCAGCAAATCAAAACCCCCAAACGGAGCCTGCTGAGAGGCAGAGGAAGCGACTGCTCAGCGCGGGCAGGCGGCCGCCGGGCGTGGTGCCTGCTGCCTGTGCCCGCTGCCCAGCCCGGTGGGGGCTGTCCCCACTCCTCGTACCCTACACCTTTCCGGAGCCCAGATCCCAGGTGAGTGTCCGAGCCCATCCAGCGGAGTTGGGGGAGAACCGATGACAACTTTTGCAATACTGTGTCATTAGCGGCCAGAAGGGGACAAAGCGGGTGAAGAGCGGGGCCTGCCTAGACATCTGCCCCCAAGGCATGAAGAAAAGGCCCCAGCCCCACAAAAGATACTTCTTGACCACAGAGAGAACCCCTTCCCCACTTCAGGGAACGCACGTGGCCCTTGTCCCCATCCCTCAGTGCTGGTAGGTCTGGGCTGTAGCCCTGGGTATCTGTATCTCACGCCTGTCCCTGGGCAGTGGTTTGGCCCCTCAGAATCTGTCTGTTGTCCAACTCCAGTTGGTCATCTGGTCTTCAGTCCTCACCCTGTCTGGGTGGTGTTTGTGAAACCGAGCCTCCCCAGTGATAACACTAGAGTCTCTGTGGGCATTGAAAGGGGAGAAGACCCAAATAGGGACTGGGGGAAGGGGAGTAGGGATTGATTGACTCTGGTGCCCTGGCCCATTATCCCCCAGCCCTTTCCACAGAGAACTATAAACTGCTTTTCAGAGAGTTGGCCTCTGAAGTCCAGGATCTTGTCTTTACCCTCCCCCTTGTTTGTGACACTGGACTGTGCTGGGTGGGGGTAGAAGGGAAGGGCCATGTAAGGGAGCCCCAAAGGAGCCCAGGAAAGGAATCCAGGCTTAAGACTCAAGTTTAGCAGGACAGGGTCTGGTTTTGCTTATACAGGATTATCCAGACTTCTGAGTAAGGCTCTCTTGGATGAAGAGGGGGAGGACCTTGAAGCGTTACCAGGAAGGGGGCTGGGAATGAAAAGAGGGAAACTGGAACTGCATCTTTTTTTAATTCTTGTCACAAAAATTAAAGGTGGAGGCCCAGCACGGCTGAGAAGTGGTGTGTGTGGGTGTGTGGGTGTGTGGCTAGGTGCCTTGTACCCACAGCACTGGCGATTCTCAGGCCATGGCTCCCCTCTGTACTGCTGTCTTCTAGGAAGTACATATCTGTCCTTGAGTCTCCCTGGAAGCTTTACAAAAGATGAGGAAGAGGGTCTTCCTTCCTCCCAGACCACAGAGACAAGGGGGAAGATGTCACTAACACTTAGCAGCTTCGGGGAGTTCCTGTTTCCTGAGCCTAAAACATACACTGAGCCCAAAGAATTGATTTGTTGGTCTATACGTATTTGCTCCAAGCACAGACTTATGGAGAAATAGGTTAGTGAAGGGGTGGGGACACTGTGGTCTCGAGGCCACATGTAGCCCTCTGGATCTTCAAGTGTGGCCCTTTGAATCCAAACTTCTCTTTGCATTCAGCCAAAGGGCTGAACTTAAGGACTTAGAGGGCCACATGTGGCCTCGAGGCCACAGTTCCCCATCCCCGGGGTAGTGGGTAACAATAGGTATGACTTTCCAAAAGATCATCAATAAAACATTTTTAAGTGCATAGAATATAGCAAAATGAAAGGCCCCATAAAATTACTGGGGGAAAAAAATTCACCCAGGCCCCTTCTCTCTATATCTGCAGATTGAACATCTCGGTTCATCACCATGTCAGCCCTGATTGTGGAGAATTTCCGCTTCCTGTCGCTCTTTTTCAAGAGCAAAGATGTGATGATCTTCAATGGGCTGGTGGCCCTAGGCACAGTGGGGAGCCAGGAGCTGTTCTCCGTGGTGGCCTTTCACTGCCCTTGCTCCCCAGCCAGAAACTACATTTATGGGCTGACAGCCATTGGGGTCCCTGCCTTGGCTCTCTTCCTCATTGGTGTCATCCTCAACACTCACACCTGGAACCTGGTGGCTGAGTGTCAGCTACGCCGGGCCAAGAATTGCTCAGCTGCCCCCAATTTCCTTCTCTTGAGCTCTATCCTAGGTCGTGCAGCTGTGGCTCCAGTCACCTGGTCTGTCCTTTCGCTGCTCAGAGGAGAGGCCTATGTCTGTGCCCTCAGTGAGTTTGTGGACCCCTCCTCACTGACAGATGAGAGGGGAGGTTTCCCCCAGGACCATGCAGTTGAGGTCCTGGCCAAGTTTCCCTGTGGGGAGGCCCCAGCAAACTTGTCGGGCTTCCAGGAGGAGGTGAGCCGAAGACTCAAGTATGAGTCCCAGGTAAGTCAGGTTTTTGGGGAAGGTGGAGAGGGGCTTAGCTATAGGCAAAGGCTCCCGATATCCTCTCCCACACCTCTTCAGGAGCTGGGATGTTGCGCTAGAGGGTGTACTATTCATAGAAGCATAGATTTAGAGCTAGAAGAGACCTTAGAGGCCATTGAGTCCACCCCCCTCTCTTTACTGAGGGAGGTCCTTTATTGATGCAACCCTTCTCCAGGGTCACGTAGGTAGCAAGTATCTAAGGCAGGATTTAAACCCAGGGCTCCAACTTATTAATTTTCCTAACTGGGGGCTCTGAGCTACGGTGATTGTTAACAACTTTTCTGATATAAACTCCATGTATCTGGGCATTGTATTGTCCCTACATGAAAAAAAAAAATCAAACCACTTTTTTTTTTTTAAAACAAGGTATAGCTAATTAAATCTACAGAGAGAGAGAGAGAGAGAGAGAGAGAGAGGAGGGGAGGGCAGTGGTAGAGAAAAGCTCACACCCTAAACCACCCTTCCTTCCCACCTTCCAGCTTGAGATAGGCAAGGAAAAATTCTGGAAAGACTTCAGTTTTGCTTCTATTGGGTAGAGAGGAGAGAACAGAAAGGATCTAGTACCAACCTGCCAACTTTACTCTCCAGAGTAAGAAGACCCTTTCAGTGTTAGAAGTGGGTAGTGCTCAGTGCTAAGAAAACCATATTCATGGTTCCAGTTGGCTCATGGTTCCATGGTTCCTTCACATATTGATCCCTTGCCTCATCCACAGACTGACCCTGGGCATAGTCTGGTTTCTTTTAAAAAAAAAAATTGGACCTGTGATTTTATTGGCATAGGGCATTCTCTCTACCAAATTATTCTTCAATTTAGAAATATTCGGGGGGGGGGGGCGCAGCTAGAGATAAAGTGACTTGCCCAGGGTCACCTGAACATTTGCCCAGTATCTCTCAGTCAGGACTTAAATCCAGGTCTTTCCAGACTCCAAAGTCTGTTCTCTGATCTCCACTCCTTGATGCCTCTTCAGACTGATTTCTAACCCTAGCCATGGCCTGACCTCTGATTGTGGCCCGGATGGACCCTTAGCCTAAGCCACAGACTGAATTGTTAACCCTGGTGAGGCACCAAGCAGATAATTACTTGTTAAGGGGAACCACATGAGTGTGGCTAGCCTAAAGCTGCCTGTCCCCTACTGGAGACATCACTTGGTTAATGTTGTGTTTTAAGTGTGATTATCTGATGATCTGTCAGGCCCAGCTCCACTGGTTACAAGCTAACATCAGGGATGACTGGTCTGTAGGCATTGTTGAAATGGTAAAGTAAAAGAAGATAAATGTTGTCACCTTCTTCCCATATCCCTTTCCTTCTCCTCTGGATGGCTCTTTATTAGACCTTGCTAAGAATCATAAGTTGTTGGACAATATAAAGAGCTACCGCATAAGGTAATGAGCTACTCACCCCTGGAGGTGTTCAAAAAAGTGATGATCACGGGTGTCAGAGATGCTGTCTAGGGGATTCCTGCATTGGGAAATAAACTGGGATCCAGTTATTTTTCAGGCATGTCCCCACTTGGAGTTCTCTTGGCAAAAATACTGGAGTTGTCATTCCTTCTCCAGCTCATTTTACAGATGAGGAAACTGAGGCAAACAGGATTAAGTGACTTGCCCAGGGTCACACAGCTAGTTTCTGAGACTAGATTTGAACTCAGGAAGATGAGTCTTTCTGACTCCATGCCTGACATTCAGCACTCTATCCACTGTGCCACCTAGCTGCCCCATAAATTGGGCTAGAGAACCTCTAAAGGCATTTTCTGGTAATGAGTTGATGAGAAAAAAAAAAAAAAAACAGGAGCATTATTAGATAAGAGAAGGGGAAATGTGGCAGAGCCAAGTACTGGGAAGCAAAGAATTTTCACTTAAAGGTCTTTAACAGGTACCAGCTGAAGAGGAGATGCAGCATAGTGTGGCAGATGAGTACTGGCCTTGGAATCAGGACCAACAACAAACATTTATTAAGCGCCTCCTACATGCCAGGTACTTGTGCTAACTGCTTAAAGACCTGAGTTCAAATTCATCCTCCCATACTTACTAGCTGGGTGATCCTAGGTAAAGTCACTTAACCTGTCTAGACATAAGTTTCATCATCTGTAGAAGCACTCCTGGGACTAGATCACGTCTAAGGTCCTTTTCAGCTTTAACTATGATGAAGAGGACAGGCAAAAACAAATGGGCAGACACAAGGGGACAGAAAGGACGATGTGTTCAAGAGGAAAATGGACAGGCACTCACAGATAGAGAGAGATTAGGAGAAAATGCAGAGACTGAGTAGGGGACAAAGAAGGCAGAAAGGAATTAACATGGCATGTTACAATTGTAAGAGAACGGCTGTTCCAACTCTCATTCCACAGAAGAGCAAACAAGATCCAGAGAAGTCAATTGACTTTGCTGTCATGCGGTTAATTATTGTCAAGCCAGGACTAGAATCCCCATCTCCCAGCCAAGGGTTGTTTTTACTGAACCTCTGTTCGTGGTGTCCCCTCCTTTTTCCCCTCGAGGTCCTTGTTCAGATGGGGCGGAGTTGGCAGCTCTTTTTTGGGACAAGGGAAAACTCCACCTCACACCTGCCTACTCTCTCTGACCCAGCTCTTTGGGTGGCTGCTGATTGGCGTGGTGGCTGTCCTCGTCTTCCTCACCAAGTGCCTAAAGCATTGCTGTTCACCGCTGGGCTACCGCCAAGAGGCATACTGGGCTCAGTACCGGGCCAATGAGTCCCAGCTGTTCCAGAGGACGGCAGAAGTACACTCCCGGGTGCTGGCCGCCAACAATGTGCGCCGTTTCTTCGGCTTTGTGGCCCTGGACAAAGATGACAAGGAGCTGGTTCAAGAGTTTGTTGTCGAGGGGACCCAGCCGAGGCCCCAGTGGAACGCTATCACTGGTGTCTACCTGTACCGTGAGAACCAGGGCTTCCCACTCTACAGTCGACTGCACAAGTGGGCCCAGGGGATAGTGGGGAACGGAAGGGGGCCGGACAATCTGGAGATGGCTTTCCTGGCTTCCTAGTATTGCAGATATCCTCACCATCCCATGCCTGTTTGAAAACACAGTGGTGACTTTTATAATCCAGGGTCCCTGTCCCAGAGCTGCCCCATCCCCAAACCCAATATGTCTGCTTCTTCCCACTGCTACCTGTTCATATTTGGATGGGCACAAAGGTGCCCCACAGTCCCGCACCCAAACCCAGGAGTTAGCAGCTACTCAGCTGATTTTGGGGTGCATCAGAGGAAGCTTTTACTAGCATCACTGACAGGCCATCAAAGAAGGCCAGAGGGTGGGGTGAAGACGTGAAAGTGGCCCAAGTTTGGGGAGAACCTGCTGGGCAGTGCAGTGGTGCTGAGAAGGGCATTCCAGCCTGCTGGATAAATGCTTTACAAGAGGTTTAGTCTTTTCCAAAGAAGCTACTTGTACTAACTTCTGAACTCTGGGACACCAGAAACTAAGTTCTTTCCATGCCATGTCAGTGAGCTCCTTGCAACAATGAAGAGTTGAGCGCAGTTAACCTGTGTCTAACTGCATGTAGGTTGGGAATGACCATCTTTGGAAAGGGAAGGCTTGAACACCTTGGGGACCACTAGTGAGCAGTTCTCCTAGGGCTCCCACTGACGTTGTTTTCTATTTTTTAAACATTTTTGATAAAAACTTTGCTATAACATCGATGAGGTGTGTGTGTGTGTGTGTGTGTATTCCCTTCTGTTGGATGCTGTAAATAGATCCTAAATCCAAAAGTAGGTAGAAGATAGGCCCCTGGGAGAAATCATAGAATTTTAGAACTGCACAAAGGACAGCAGCACTCACAAAATTCAACCCCCTTCTTTTGTATAAAAGGAAACTGAGGCCCAGGGAGACAAAAGTCTATATAACCACTAGGTCGTGTGGGTCTCTGGTGTCCTGACTGCCAGGCTGGGGCTTGATGCCATCCATAATGCCTTTCAAAGTCCTTGTCAGTGCCTGCTCAGCCGATACCTAGGGTAACAACTATTAGACTTAACTCCATGCTCCTGCCCATCTCTCTCCTGGGGCCCACAGACTGTTTTTTGTAGAGACACCCAATTGTCCTCTTCCTCAGAATCTGGAGATCCTAAAACCCAAACAGCCCTCACTGCTGAAGAGGAAGGGTAGAGGCCTTCTCCACATTTTTCCCTTTCATTTTGGCTTCTGGAAATGGCTCCTCCCTTTTCTCCCAGTCCCGCCAAATGCAAAGCATGACTGATACGCTCTTTTCAATTACATATGCTACAGAAAACTGCTTTTTTGTTCACATGGTATTTCAGGCTCAGCCAGAACCAACTTCTATTTTCCTCGAGGCCAGAACAGGAAACCAGCTTCCACAGCGGCAGAAAGGTGCCGTGTAACCTTTAGGAAGCACTTCCTTGAATGTCTGGTGGCTAAGCAAGTGAGGGTGGTTACTTCTTCAGGTCCTTAAGTGTTCTAGGGACACCTGTGGGCATGCAGCAAAGGCATGGAGGAAATGTCTCAATGTCATCCCTCTTCAAGGGAACATGGGAACTGTTAAGGAATGCAGCCCTCTCTGTCCCTTTTCTCTGAGAAGCTGCTGTCCATCACTTCACTTGCTTCTTTTCTCCCAAGACCCCCAGAGGAGGAAGACGGGAAGGCAGTGACTCCCCAAATCAGAGCACAGGCCTGGAACCCAGGTTCCCCAGTGCTATGGCACTTTGTTCCTCCTGCCCAAGCAGATTCCAGGGACGTTCTGGAGGGACTCATGACTGGGCAAATGGCCCATGGGTCCATGGAGATCTCTGTGATCTGGAAGGAGTGCCTAAAAGAAGTCATGGCCTAGTGACTGCTGATTGTCCTTATATTCTTCAGGTGAGCTCACAGCTGGGTTTGAATGACAGCCTGATCGTGAGACCCAGGGAAGTCAGCCTCCTTCCACTACCCTTCCCAGGGAATAAGAAATAGTTTACAAAGCACTTTCTTTAAGACAACCCTGGTGAAAGAGTCAGCATGAATATTCTCATCCCCGCTTTACAGATGGGTGAACAAGTTCATTTAAACTCAGACTCTAAACCCAGTGAGTCCTCTTGATCGTAGACCACCATTCCAAAGAAGGTCGTACAGACTCGGGGGCCATACTGTAGGCCACAAAGCAGACAAGTTTCTCGGGAGTCCATCAGTCACAGGATGACTGTGAAACAAATGGGCAGAGGAATTGCCCACCAGCATTACTGGGAAGAGAAGTGGAAGAAACAAGCTGGTTCATTTTTTTAAGAGATCTCTTATGTTCACTTAAAAAAAAATTTTATATCTTTTGCTTTTACATCATCTTTATTTCACAATATACCTCCCCCTCCCACCTAGCCATCCCTTATAACAAAAAAAAGTTCAAAGAAATTATATGACGTGTTGACCATGCCTGACATATGTACTGTTCCACACTTGTACACTCAAACACTGCGCCCGCCCTCCCCCCCCACACACACAGCAGACACACAGACACAAGTTCTGACAAGGGCAGGTCGCTCCTGGTTTTTACAGGGCTACCCTGTGTCACCACAAACAATGGTTAAATAAAGCTCCTCACGCGCCCCTCATGGTTTTTAAAAAATACATCTCGTGTCCACTGTCTGGGAGGATGCTGGTCCGGCCTGACTGGGCCCTCAGGTTAGTCGTTAGCTATCAGCAAGGGTGCTCTTGGCCTCCACGTAGCTCAAGGCCTTCTCCTTGACAGCCTGCACCGTCTCGGCTGTGCCGTGCTGCTTCTCATAGTCCAGGTAGCGTTTGAAGAAGAATTTCATCCTCTTGGGGGCCAGGCTTAAGTGTACCACTCGCTCAAAGATGTCCCTGAGTCACAAGAATAGGGAGCTCAGGGAAATGGGGGACTGGCCCTCCATGGTCACAATTTGTCAGTACTGGGGAATACCTCTGTGGCAGAGGCACTGGGGAAAACTTGGCCTTACTCCAAATAAACTAAGAGTGAAGTTGCTGGGCCTGAGAGACAGGGATGGAGTACCAGGAGAAAGACCTGAACTCAACACCAGCAGCTCTACATCCCAGTCCCAGCTCTGCCCTAGCTAGTCAAGTGACCGTGGGCAAGGCAGCCCCCACCTCCATGGCCTGTCCCATGGGGAGGGTGCCAGGAAAAAAATTAAGTCATGCCTGAGAAAAGTGCTAGAAATGAAGGCTGATGAACAGATAAGTTATTAGGAGGGCCCAAGTTTTCTGGCTTCTAGCCCACTGAGTCCATGTTGCTGCCCAAGGCCAAAAAGAGGCCCCTCCCTATTGGACAAAATCTTCTGGTGAAAGGATGGAGACTTGGGAAGGTGGAGCCTTAGGGCCAATGAGCCTTCCCCTACTCACTCCAAGGCTGGCCAACTTCTTGTCCCCTTTCCTTCCCCTTACTTACCGGACTTCCTTTTGGTTCCCGTACTTAATGACCATGTCAATGTAGACGGACCAGACATCTGTGCGCTTGGGGTAGCTGCTAAGAGTGCTCTCAAACATGGCTTTGGCTCGTTCCGCATCCCCCAGGTGGAACTCAAGCTGGGCAAATTTGGAGATGACATCCACATCTGCAATGGCAAGGATGACTCAGATCACTGGCCAGAGTCCTCTCTCTAACAGACTGAGGTCAAGATGATGAGGAAGGATGCCCACACCTACTCCTTGGTCATTGTTCCCAGCATCATGGCCCTTTCTGGAAGGACAAAGCCTAATCTGGGATTACTAGGTACGTTAAGGATGGAGAAGGTAGAGTCAGGGAAGGTTCCTAACTTCACTGGCCACTGAGCCTCTACACCTATACCCATATAACGTCTCAGTGAAGTGCCTGGGAGTGAGATTTAACTCTGTTAATCTCATCCATGGGAATTGGGACTCTGGGAAGGTCAACTGTTATTTTATGCAAAACCAAAAACTATATGAAAGTCACCCCGACAAGGAGGCCTACCCTGTGCCACGCCGGAGGAATCCCCAGAAGCCCCGCTTGGGGAAGGCAGAGGTATAAGAGGGACAAAGAGGACTTACGTTCTTTCTGTGGCAGACAATTGAAGGCCCGCTGCAGCAGGCGGTGACTGGCGTCGGCCTGCCCTCTCTGAAGAAGGAAGGCACCATATTTGATCCACACGGTCTTCTCTTGTCGGAAACGTTTCAGCATCCGACTATAGAGCTCTTCAGCTGCCTGGGGAAAAAGAGGAGGTGAGCAGACAAACACGAGAACCTAAGTGAATCCCAGGCCTACTCTACAGATTGGGGGGCTGGGAAGGGACGTGAGACAGCTTTTATTTTTGAGGTGACTCCTCCCATTCTACACTGCTCTTGAGCTCAGGGAGAGGTCCCTAAGGGGACGTCAGGACAAGGAGGGATGGGAAAGCCAAAAGGAGAAGGCACCAGGCTTGGAGACGGACACTTCTTTTCCTCTGTCTAGGGTACGCTATAGAGACAAGACTGGAATTCTGTTGACACCTTCACCTCCAAATAATTCCCACACCTAGCAATTTACTTAACCTCTAAAAGGAAGGAACTACTCTTCCCATTCCATAGACAGGGATACTCGGTCTCCCCAGGATTGTGAAACAAATTCCCCAAAGTTACAGCAAGAGCTGAGGACTCTCAACTTTGAACCCTGCCTCGGTGATACCCACTGGGCAGCGTCTGTCTGGAGTGGGGATGGGGAAGAGACTCTTCTGGGGCTTGAAGGGGAACATCTCCAATCAAAAGGCTGGGAAACATACCTGGTACTTCTCTGACTTGGTGTAGATGTCAGCCAGCTGGAGAAAGACCTTCAAGGGCTCACAGTACTGCACAGCCCGCTCAAAGACCTTGGTCAGAGTCTCTTTGGAGCCATACATATTCTCCAGATTCATCAAGGCCACCCACACGTTTAGCTTCTCCTGCTCTTCTCTGGGGGTACAGAGGGGTCAAAACTCAAACTCTAGTCCAATGGACCTCTTTCACCTCTATCTGGAGGCTAACTCTCAATTACAGCCATTCCCCGCTACAGCCTTCAGATCTCCCACGCCCGCTCAACCTAAGCCCAACATCAGGAAATAGGCTCGGAGATCAATTTTGAGTAATCCCTGCCTCCCAAAAGTATGACAAGAAGCCTGGAGCCTTGATTCTCTGGGTTATGGGCCACTCTCTGTTGTTCCCTGCTGGATCCAACTACGCCGGGGAGGACATGCCATGCCTCTTAGGTCCCTTCCTGGAGGGAGTGAAAGCCTCAACTCACAGACTGGGGTTGGGAGGGTGCCGACCCCCTCCTTCTCTGAACCAGCAGGGCCTGGATCTCTTACTGAACAATCACAATCTACTTAGTATCATCATCATTTGCATCTATCCCTATGAGATTAAAAACTACAAGAAGAGAGTTACTGTGTTTCACTCATCCCTGTTCTTATCACAAACAGAAAAAGTAGGGACCCCCATCTCTCTCCCACCTCCCCTCCCTAAACTCAGGTGCTTATGACCTGCAGGGAAGCCACAAGCCAGATGAAAGGAAGTAAGAGCAGCCACCCTCAGAGCAATCAGTCTGCAGAGCTACCTCCTGCCAAGCCAAACGTTTCCCCAAGGACATACTCCTCCATGGGGGCTGCCGGGAGGAAGCCTCTTTACCTGAAGGAGATGGACTTGAGAGCCCTCTCGGCCACCGCCCGGGCCTTCTCAATCTCTGTGGCGTGCAGGTGGAAGGCCATGTA